CTTTGTGACTTTTTCTCTCTCTCTACAAGTTGGCATTAGCTTAACATTAATGCATATTATTTGTTGAATACAAGATATATTCCAGTATATTCTCTGTTCACCAAGACATGTCATTAACAGATTCATCTTACCCTAAAGAAAATCATGCAAGTTTAGCACATTCAAAGTTTTACTCTGCAGTCAGCTCACAGTAACAAGAGCACGAGGTACAGAGGAGGTAACATTTGATTTCTGATATATGATTTATTAATTGTATCCCTGGTGTTCTCGTCCAGAGCAGTGTTTCTGTTCATTCTGCTATTCTTTCATCTTCCCCCTTCTTCAAGCAAGCTTTTTTCTTTGTCTTTTCTGTGCTTGCTTTTTTGGCATTCGTGTTCTGATTTATTTCTTTCTTCAAGTTTTTCTAAAGCAGGAGGGGACCATGGCTGACAGAAACCAAACTTACAAATCAGGGTGTTGTCCTTACTTCTGGCTGTGACACGGTTTGCTTACTCCATATCCCTGAGCTTCAGGGTAGGGAATCTGCTGTTCAAACGGCTTGCTTCTTGTGAAGGAGTAAGAAAAGATACTCTAAAGACTATTTACTAAAAATACCTGCCTTTATCTTTCAGAGACAGAGATCGTGACTATCAGAGTTTGACTGGCAGAGCCCAGCACCTTTCCAGATTGAATCTTGTCTTGTGTTTCATTGCTGCTGACAGTCACAGCTGTCCATTTTCAACACCACTCATGCAGGACTCTGCTTCCATAGGGCTTCACTGGGTTGATGTCAATGGACATTTAGCAGGTTTCTGCATTGAAATCTACATTGTTGAATGCTCACACAGTTACTGTCATAATCTTTTCCATTTTACCAAGTAGCTTCATCCTCTCCTTAAGGTTTTGGGGTTTTTGGTTTTGTTTTAATTCATGGAAAAGTTCCCTCCCTATCACAAAACTAGTGGATGGTCTTAGCACACAGTTACTTAAGAAAGATAAAATTTTTCTAGCTAACCAGGCCATTAAAAATAATATTTCTTCCATTCAGACCATGTACTTAAGTAAATACAATATTAATACAGATTACCTTATCCCCGATGATGGCTTGAAATCTTGGTCTCTTAAGATTTCTGTCATTGTGAGTTGCCCTCTGGGAGGCTGCTCAATGGTTTCAAACGTTGCCTTCTGATTAGCTGGCCCAACACAGGACATGTCCCCAGCAGAGATGGCTTTGCATTCCTCCTTGCCCTCTGTACCTGTGCTGCTGCAACTGTCAACTCCTGGAGGGAGTAAAATTGTATCTGAGACTTATGAAGAGTGAGACTGGAGCTGAAATGAAGATAAATTCATTTCGGAAGAGAGGAAAGTGCACTTTAAGCTTGAAAGAAATTATGCAGTTATTCTGCATGAGCTAGCTGTGAATGTTAATGAAGACGTCAGCATCATTAGAAGTGTAGACAAATTTAAGGGAACAAACTCAGGAAGGGCTATCTGTGCTTCCAGATAAAATTCATTGTTCTGGTAGTTTTCTGTTGGATGAGTTGCAAAAGGAAGAGGCAGAAGAAACTTCGGCGAGAGGGAAATATTGTATCAGAGGCTGACACACAAATTTGTAGTATTTATACCAATTAACTACAGGTAGAATGACTGCCCAGATAAAGGGGGACCTGAACACACTTGATGTTTTCCCTCTGGCTGCTGCTTCCCTTTGGGGGTGTTAAAAGGCACCTGAATTACTGGGATGGAACTTGTGGTGGCTTCTTTTCCAGTATTTCCACTTGGATCTTGCAATATCCTGTAGCCTGGGCTTCTCAAGACTGCCAGAGTCCGTGTTAACAGCACTGTCCACCACAGCACTCTGAGCGGGGAATGGCTCCAGGTCCCACTCCGAATCAGAAGAGGGAGAAGACACTGCCACAGCTGCTGGCTCTTCTTGGTTTGGCCCTTCTAGTTCTAGAAGGTGTGGAGAACGCTCGCCGGTGGACACTGCCCCTTCAGTTTCTCTCTGAAAGAACAGAGACCTGGATGGAAGAGGCCACCAGGCATCAACATGGGGATGGCAGCAGCAGATGCACCTCAGGTATGCTGACAAACAGCATATACCATCACAATGATAGTTGAAATGTGGCCAGCAGGGTGAGCAGAGCAAGCAGTGCTTGGCAAGGCTACGGACAGCACAAACAGGAGTCAGGGCTGGTTTAGGACAGCGGGAAAAAATACTAGAGTCAGCATCTGGACTTTCTCTGGGCTCCACCCTGCTGGTGAAGGGCATGTGGATCATCTCTACAATCCTCTCCCACAGGCCAGGGGGGATTCACAGAGCCACACCTCGTGGGAGTTTCACTGTCTTGTCATTCCAGAACTTGATCATAATGTCTTCGTCTTCTGAGGCTGTTGAGAGAAAAGGTAAAGCAGCTGACGTGCCTGGGCAGTGCATATACACAGATCAGGCTTTGCCACTCTGTGCGCTTTCTGCTCCCATCAAGCAGTAGGATCAACTATCATCCCTCTCAGTAAGACCTCACCATAATGTCATGGAGGGTGGAGTGGACAGCTAAGGACACTGCCAGGGTGACAACAGGCCTGGTAGCATATTTCCTCCCAATCTGTCACCCAATGAACAAGAAAATATTAACTAACTTTTTTTTTTTTTAATTTATTGCTGCCAAAGTTAGGAGTAAGCTCTGAGAATAGTAGTTTGATAAGTCAGCAGAGCCTGACTCTGACATGGGGAAAATGAATGAGCTGTTGAAAATCTCCTACACTTGGGTAATAGAATCACCCCCGCTTGAACCATTTGATACAAACATCAGCATTCAAGCATGAATGGGTGCTTCCTGAGAGCTGCCTCACCTGGATCGCTCAGGAAAAGGCCACGTGGCCCACGCAGCCTTGTCCAAGCAGACGGGAAATAGCACATTGGTGGACATGGAAGACGGCACTTTTATGAGCCACAACTTCCTTAGGGTCTGGCTGGTGAGGTTACATGCAGGTATCCACCAGCAAGTTCCATCAGTTCTTGCAGACTTCAAACAATGCTAAACTATAGTCTGCACACTGGTGTTTCTCTGGCAGCAGCACCATGGTAAGAGTTTATCCTGACAACCTCACTCATGTTCCTGAGCAAGAAGGGGGCAGCATTTTTCTTACCTCTTAAGGGATCCCTTGTTTCAATGCCTGCGAGGACGGTTCCTGGGCCATACCTGGCCATATCTGGTTCCCAGGGTGCCAGCACTTTGTCTCCAGGGAGTAAAGAGTGCTTCATCCCGTTCACATATTCCAGCATGTCATCCTTTGCTGTTTTTTGCACACACGCTGGATGCCTTCCACGCGACACAAGTGGTTTGGCAAACTCTACCAGAAACATGCCTCTTTCACTCTGTTACCAGAAACAAAATCATAGTTTCTCTGAAAAACAGTCTGTGATGCCTCAGCTCACATAACCTTCACCAGGAGGCCATTCTGTGACTACGCAGCTGGGTCAAAACATCAAGCAAGCCTAAACAGTAACTAAATAGTGTGTGATGTTAGTACAGCATCAAGACAGCCAGAAAACCCTCCAGGAGGCTCATCAGAAAGCAAGCTGAGTGAAGCGTATGTACAGATTCACTACTGCTAGGACCTGCATCTTCTTCCTCGAGAGAAAAAGCTACAGACGGAGTGCAACTGGATTTCACAAACCACGTTGTGTGCACCAGCTAATAAGGGTCA